ACTTTACTGGAGAAGGAGAGACTGTGTGAGTGTTAGTTGCTGGATCAGCCTAAAACCACTACAGCATGGGACTCTGCACCCTGGGTAAGCTGGCTCTGCATCTGCTGGGATGGGTAAGTACCAGGGCACCTCATGCTGGTACAGCATCATGGGGATGAGCAGGACACAGCCTGTCATACTGCAAGGATGTGAGGAGCTGGCATTTCTCTTCCGCTGTCCCTGGAGGCCATGTTTGCAAGGACACCTGAGTCAGGCAGGACTTCCCACCCTGAGGTGCTGTTTTTCCTGAGGCTGGACCCTTCCCCACCGAAGCTCCAGGCAGAGAGGGGCAGTGACCATGCTGTGAGGTTGCTGGCCTTATCTTCCTACTCCCACCCTTGTGCCAGCCAGGTCTGTCCCCTAATTCAGCTAGAAATCAACTCAAGACCCCCAGATGCTAGCTTGGGGCAAATCAGCCCCTGTGCAGCCCCAGGCCCCAAGGAGAGGATGCAGAAGCACTGCCTCCTCGCCGCAGCATGTCTCCACCATAATGGCACCTCAGTAAAGCGAACAGAAAACCATCACCATCCACCTTGTAACTAATGAAGCACATCCTTGACATCTCCCTGGCAGAGCAGATGCCAGAGCCTCACTGGAACCACTCCAGGAGTGAGTGGGTGTGTCTGTGTGTCTATGTGTGTAAGTGGGCGAACGTCCTGCCCCAGGGCACTGAAGCAAGAGCAAGTGATGCAGCAGCTGCCTCGACATCCCCGACTGTCCGCATCCCCTCAGGGGAAAGCGGTTGCGCTGCTATGGCCACACTCTCCAGTGTTCAGGCTGCAGCTGAAGCTCAGCAACAGCCGTTTCTCTTTTATTAAGTTAACAAATAAATGCCCAGCTGGAGAGCAGGCAAGCTCTATTGATTCAGTGCCTCCCGTGGGACCCATCAGTGTGCTGTATTTTAATATATATTAGGCAAGAAAGAGCTCTGCATCACCCAGTTCAGCTGGGCTGGGGGCCCTCCAGAGCAAGATCCCGGAAAACAGATAGCCTGGGGAGATGGGGCTGCCCCAGTGCTCGGCACCAGACCCCTGGGCAGACCCGTTCCAGGCGAGGAATAACCTCAGCTGCTACTTGATAGCAGGGAGCAGCACGCTGGCAGTGCCACACAGCGCTGGCACAGGCATGCAGCAGGCACTGTGTTCCCTGCGCTTTTCTGGCTGTGGCATCTCTGGCCTGTCCCTCATAGAACAGCGGGGCTGTCCATGGACTGGATGAGACGCTCCTGCGGGCTGGGTTGAGTGATGGGTGTCTCAGCCTGAGCTGGGTGATTGGAGATACCTGAAGTGACAAAATGGCACTACAGTGGCCAACTCTCCTCTTGTTTAGACCCAGGCCTGCTGCACTGCCCTGCACATGGTCTCACTCCGCTCTGGCACACGGCCTGTGCCTGCCTGCTGCCCCAGCCCAAGGCAGATCTGCCCAAGGCACTCGTCCTCCTTCCCACAGGACAGGCTTGGCTGCAAACAGAAAGAATAGGCTCCAGCAGAGATGTAAGGACACTGGGTCAGCTGCTGGGATACCAGGAAACCCCCAGAGCTTGGCACCCTCAAAATGGCTGGTTGAAGCATAAGCACTTGGGCACAGGGAAAGATCTCCCTTAGCACAGCGACTGGAGGCTGTCATGAGTCACTGCCAACTCTGGTTAAATGTGGTCTTGCATTGGCAGCACGCTCCCCAGGCTAGGCCAGGAAATGAGAAGCTGTGGGCACAGGCTGTGCAGGCAGGGTGGCAGAGGAAGAAGAGGACAAAGGGATCCACAGAGTCACACAGCGGGAACACTTTAATGACCTGTCCAGCTCCTGCAAGACTCTGCTGGCACAGCATTGTTCTGTCCTGCACCAGCATCCCAGAGACTCCACCCAAAAATCCTCCTGCAGCTGGACAGAGCCCACCAGGACCTCAGGCAGAGAAGGGGAGCAGTGTGGCATTGCTCAAGTAACCCCCTGCAAGCTCTTGAAGGGACTGTGCCCCCCGGACTGCATCAGCAGGCAGCTCACAGGCGAGTGGCAGTGATGGTCTTTTGGGAGGGGACTGTGCTGAACCCTGGGGAGCTGGCTGGTGACGTGGCTGAGGTGTCCTGGGGGGCAGAGCCAGGTTTTGTGTCCCGCGGTGTTTCTCTTCCCTTTAGCAGCTCCATGGCTGCTTTCTCCACTTCATCCATCTGCAGCTGGCTGCTGGCCACCATCTTGTCCCTGGCCACCGCTATGAAGGATGGGTCACGGCCAATGCTGCAAGGCCCCCGGAGATCGGAGCCTGCAGCAGAGGATGGGGCCACAGCCCAATGTCTGCTCAGTCTGTAGGGGAAGTGCCCCTGGCTGCAGGCAGCCCACCCTTGCCTCCTTTTCCTGGTGCCCTCTGCACTGGCACATACCTGCTGCTCACCCTTGTAGCTAAGCTTTGCCCTCCAACCTCCCATCTTGGCATGAGCATGGCACCCTGGCCAGCCCCTTTTGCTCCCTGGCAGCCCTGCCTTTCCCTCTGCCAGGCTGAATGAGGAAGGTGATGGCCAGGGTGGAGAATGTGCTTGGGTCGCTGCTTTCACCCTGCTGGTGCCCTGAGCTGGATGCTGTTCCCATCACAGTGCCTCCTCTCTGGGCAACCGGGTGAGAGGAGCAAAGAGCTGCAGCCTGGACTTGGGCAATGTCCACGGAAGATCTCTTTCATGGTAATGTGAGGGCTGCAGCCTGGACACACACTCCCACCCTGCTGGAGCTCCTGTGTCCAGGGCACCACCCACAATGGGACCAGCAGGGCCATGGGCAGAGGGAGCTCAGAACCAGCCTTATCTCCTGCCCTGGCGCTTGCCAGGTGATGAGGCACTGTGGCCAGCCAAGGGCAGCCAGGGGAGTCTGTGAGCAAACCTGATGCACCCCTTTTTTCTGCCCCAGCTCTGGAGGCAGCCGGAGAGCCAGAGAGCTCCTGTTTCGAGCTGTCCCAGCTTGGATGAGCACCTTGTGCCCACTGCAGCAGCAGAGTGGGAGCCTGCTCAGCCTCCGCTGCAGCCTCTCCATGGGTAAGGGGTGGTTGCACTCTGGGAGAGGGAAAAGTGGGGACATCAGATGGGCACAAGAGCAAAGACACCACCACCACCCAGAGCTGGGAACTGGTTAACTAGATTGGGGGAACCAAAGGGTTTAGGGGTTCAGGACCAACCAAAATCTCAATGCCTGCCCACTGCCCCATACTGGCTCCCCACTCACGCTGGGAAGCAGTCCCTGTTTGTGGAAATGAACAACGTCTTGTAGCCCTACTGCCTGGGGGTGGCTGGTCCTCCTCCAGCCTGAGGCACTGGCTTTGAGTTTCATCACCCTGAAGGCTGGGAAGGTGGGCAGAGGGTCTCCTGGAGCTTCCCAGACAGGTCCCACTGTGCTGGAGGCTCTCGGCCATCCTCCAAGTTGCTGGGGTATGCATCTCCTCCTCCTGCCTGCCAGCATCACCCCTTCTTTTCCCTTACCCTGGCCCTTGGGCTGGTCCAGATTCCCCAGATGATAAACAATGCTGGCACTCACCCTGCACTGGATGCCCAAGTGCTACTGGCACCGTCTTCCTCAGCACCTCGTACTTCATCCTGGTGGAGGCAGGCAAGTGGGTCAGCCTGAGCAGAGACCATGCACCAAGATCAGCTCCATCCACACATGCAGCCCTCCCCACCTTCTCCACCTTGGGGAATGCAACTGATGGGCAGACCAGGAGGGGCACCTGAGACTGACACACAGGGTGAAGACCCCAAGAAATAGGATTAAGTATATCCTGTTACATTGATAGCCCTTGTACCTGTGCCCAGGTAGGTGCTGTTGGCCCCTACCTGGGCCTTGGCACTCAGAAATTGGTGGGGAAGGGG